ACAGTAGATCTCCAGTGTTAACAGTGAGGACAGACAGTAGATCTCCATGTTAACAGTGAGGACAGACAGTAGATCTCCATGTTAACAGTGAGGACAGACAGTAGATCTCCAGGTTAACAGTGAGGACAGACAGTAGATCTCCAGTGTTAACAGTGAGGACAGACAGTAGATCTCCAGGTTAACAGTGAGGACTGACAGTAGATCTCCAGGTTAACAGTGAGGACTGACAGTAGATCTCCATGTTAACAGTGAGGACAAACATCTCAGAGCTTCTTCTTTGGTTCTTCTATTGAAACTTTACCCAGAATGCTGTTGACACATCAGCCCTGTGGCTCGAGGCCTTTTGTACTTCACCCATGTGGCTTCTTCTCGCTGATATTCATCATATAGAGCTGTTTCCACACAAGGCGGTTCTCACAAACAAGCACAGACACACGTTCGCTCGCTGCACACAAACCTGGCCATCTGCCAGCCTCTCCTATGGAGCAATGCGGTGTGAATTTACGCACATAAATCAGCCAAGGTGGCAATTGAGCCAGAGACAGAGGAGGCTTTTTATTGGCCTCGTAAAAACAGATGCAGAGGTATGTTTCTCTCATGTGCGCTGATGGGTCGGTACCCCCCCCCCCCCCCCCTCCTTCAAAGCCAGTCCTTGCACGTCTTGGTCTCGACAATTTGTTTGACACGGCGTCGTCCTGCTCAGACTGACAAGCTGCTCGCTTCACTCTGTTGTAAAATAAGATAAAAGACCCCCGAACGCTCTGACGTTCCAGTTTCACCACAAATTTTAGGATTCTGAGATTGTTGCTAACAGACGACGCTCGTATTAAGCGTCTAGACAAATGTGCAAATATATATGTTTTTTGATCCCAGGCTCTTACCGGGTCGGAGTCGGTCGCTGTTGGTGTTATTATCGTTTATCTGAATGCCATTTAGTTGCACTCATCCCAGCCCCGTTTATGTCTCCTTTCAAACAGCCTCGTATGGAATGATTCATATGCTAATGGTTCTTGGGTAATGCTTTTATTAGGATGCTTGTTACCTTGTCAAAGGATTTTTGTCAAGATGCAACAAGCCGCTGATTAAAAATGATTTGATTTCACTTTACTTGCATTTGCCTTTTAATCACCAACTCAACATAAGAATACCATTTCATACAACACATCTGAGTGTTTTTGAGCAAAGTAACACTCCAGTTCTGTGCGTGGGTGTAATCTACACTGTGTGTGTGAGCCTGATCAAACATGGTTGTGTTGTTTTTATGTTGCAGCCGCGAAGGGAAGACTGTAACAGCCTGAGACCCGAGGACTGGAATCCCCGGATCCCCGTGGGCATCTCACCTGTGAGCAGATTCACCCTCTCACCTGCAACACCCTCTCACTCAGAGGCAAACCATCTCATGAACCACTGCATGGACTTTAGAGAAACATTCAGAGATCGCTCAATGGTGGCTGTACCTCTGTCAGTTTGAGATTTTGAGATAAAGCCAAAAGTAGTAGTAGATGAGCATCACTCCAGCTCATCCTCTGAGCACTGAGTCAGGCCCATCTCATAAACCACTGTAAAGGTTTCAGAAAGTAACTATTGTAAATGTACAGTTAATACAATTCAAGATGGCTGCCACAGCTACCTTATCCTGAACAAACATAGATGTACCTCATATATGACCGGCATTTAGCTAACATTTAGCTTTGTAGTAGCTGAGAGTCCTACACAACACGCACTCTGAGCACAAACAGGTCATGCAGGATATCATAATGTTACACAATGTTGCTTTGAAGATTTGATGAAAAGACAAACGATCTCTTCTAAAACTCATGTGAAAGGCAGTGGGCGATACGCACTCCTTGAAGGAATCCAAGGTCTTTAGCTTGGTAAAATGGTCAGTAGCTCACTTCAGACACTTTTAGCTGATCAGAGCATAAACATCTACAGATGCAAGTTATTTTAATGGAATGCAGAGTCTGTCAAAAAACAATCTCTCAGTGGAAACCGTTCAAACTTTTCTTCATCTTTTGCTCTTTTAAAGGTGAAACCGTCGCCTCTGCCAAGTGAGTGGAACGGCAAGACGGAGAACTGCATCCTGAACATCAACTCCAACATCTACGATGAGATCCAGCAGGAGATGAAGCGGGCCAAAGTGTCCCAGGCTCTGTTCGCAAAGGTGGCTGCTTCCAAGAGCCAGGTACCACAACACTCACCGACTGAGCATCTTGAACACACAGTTTGTTTTGTACATAAAGGTTCTGACTGATGGTGGTCTTCCAGTACCCCACAAACTCTTAATTGTCAACTTTTTGCAGTGAAATTATATTTAACTAAAGGAGTTCAAAACTTCATATATTATTATACAAACATCTTTGATCTAAAGTCATGGTTCTCAAACTGTGGTACAAGTACCACTGGTGGTACTGAGTATTCCTCTAGTGCAGGGGTGTCAAACCCACTTACTAAAGAGGCCAAAATTAAAACCTTTTTCAAACTAAGGGCCGGTTTCAGAATCTACAATAGTTCAAGTTAGATACCCAACTTTTTTTCTTGGTAGCAGGTTCCTCAACAAGAGTTTGATTGGTCTCATTTGACGTTCTCTGTTGCTCTTTTGACATCATAACCAAAGATTAATGAAAAACATAAATTTATAAAACGTATTTTACATTTAAAATGACATCTTGGGGGCCAGATAAGATGTCAACAAGGGCCACATTTGGCCCCCGGGCCTTGAGTTTGACACACATGCTCTAGTGGTACACAAAATACATTTTAGTATCCAGTGTTTATATGTCAAATAAGTAATTAACCATCATAAATTAAACTGTTCTGTAAAACTAAAATTAAGAGACTGTGACAGATGAGGGGTTCAAGCAAGCTGGAATCAGCATCAAATGGAAGCTAAAGAAATGAACGCTAGGCACCAAATGACTTTACTGAAAGATGCTGAGGAAGCTGAAACAGAGGTATTAAAGCTACAAGAAACAAAACACTAGTTAGAAACTAAAAAAGTTAAAATATTTTTTTTAAAAGCTGGCTAAAAACTGCAGAGGTTTAGCTAAAAGTAGTAAATGGTTAGCTAAAAGTAGCAAAAAGCAACAGAAAACCTCTACAAGCAACAAAAAGAATAGCTATAACATAAAAAATAGCATAACTAGCTTTAGCTAAAAGTATTTAATGTTAGCTAGAAGTTAAATTTATCAAAACGCTAGCTAAAAGCAGCAATATACAAACTAAAAGCAAAAGAAAACATGGCTAAAGCAACAAAAAGGCTAGCTAGAAGCTTAAAGTAGCATAATTGTAACATAAAGTTAAAAGTATGACATGTTGGCTAGAAGCTAAAATGATCAAAAGGCCTGCTAACAGTAACAGAACGGTAGCTGAAAGCAGCATATACAGCTAGCTAAAAGTACGAAAACAATAAAACTTAAAGTAGCATTAAAAAACAAAAACAGTTTGAAATGAATCAGATTTGAAAGAGAACTGACGACATCTCAACGTGTTCTAATGAGGAAATTACGTGTAACGTGTGTGTATAAGTACATGTAAACTGGAATATTTTTTAAATGTTCTGACAAAGACGAGGACGGTGAGGCTTCGGTGTGTGTCCTGTAGCCAGCTGGATTTGATGAAGGGGTAAAGCTGAGCTAAAGAAGCTGGTTTGGTTTGTAGGTTCGAGTTAGACGTGCAGGTAAACTGGTCAGTTTGCTTGTTTCTGTTAAATAATCTGAATCTGAGTAAAAACTTGTGCACTTGTACTTCTGAGTTTATCTGTTTTAATAGTGGCACTTATTAAGAAGTTTGAGAACCACTGACCTAAAGCAGTAACCATTGTTTGGGTCCAAATAAGCTAATCCTTGACCTTACGTGACCTTTTTAAACACATTCAGATCACACAGTTACAACAGCTATGTTAAAAATTACTTGTAACTCGTTGAGTTTATAGAAATATGACACAAAAAGGAGCTAAAACTTTGAGTTAAATAAGTAAAACGTATACAGACCTGACTAACAGCGGTGAGTCATCAGCGTAATGTTTTATATCCTCTTTATTGTGGGTTTGGAGTTCAGCGGCTGACGCTGTTTCAACACCAAACAAACCTGTTTATATGAGCTTTGTTCAGTCAGATGATGAGGGCCCCCGTCATCTTCTCACACAGAGCAGGCCTGTGTGTGCTGGAAACAACTGGAGGAGAACACACACCACCAGTTTAACTTTTTATTAAAGCAATTAAAGCATCGAGGACGTGGTATTTAAGGTTTTCATGAGTCTGTCGCAGGCAGACTTGGAAAGATTTCCACAATTGTGCCTGATGAGGAGGACGGGTGGAGAAACGGATCACCAAGGGCGGAATAATCTCGAAATATCTGCAAAGGCTTTATTTTTTTCTTGCTGATTAGGATGATTATACCCCCAGATAGCTTTGTTTTACCAAATTGCAGTTTGATGCACAAACCACTGTTTTTGTTCAAGAGTTCAAAGACTCCTTGGAATGACGGAGAAAGAGAAAAGGGGGGAGTGCGAGTCTTCCCAAATGACAGCTTGTCTGGGAATGGTTTCCACTGTGCCTTCTCCACCTCCCTCCCGTTCCTCCGTCTTGCCCTTCTACCTCTGCCTTTCCCCAGATTTCTGTCTCTTTCACGTTCGGTTCGTGGCAGGCGGGTGTGAATGTGAATTGAGCTGCAGATAAGAAGTGTGCTAATTATGCCTCTGAAAAGGGGCCTGTGAGAGCACTTATCTCTGCCTCTATCTCGTAATGGGCGCTTCCCGGGCAGCTGGTCTCCCCCCCGCCTCACCAGCCGCCATCGCCACAGCTACCAGCACCTCCGGACCAGTCAGAGCTCCAACCAGAACCTCAGAGTCTGCAGCTTCATTTCAGTGTCGCTGGCACAGTCTTTAGGAGTCCCACGTATTTTACCTAAAACATCTAAAACAAGGCAGTGAATTCAGTTTGAATTTCACTGATTTCAGTAGAATTCATGAGTCCGTGGAGCAACTGCTTTACATTTATAACCGTTAAAATCATTAAAAAACAAACGCAAAGTAAAATATTCCAACATCAGGTGCTTGAACGGTTCTGCTTTTATATATTAAAACGTTTAATGTTTCAGCTTCTTGAAAATTATTTATTGCTGTTTTTTTCTGCACTAAATAAATTTCATATAAACTCAAGAAATTGCAGATTACCGGTGTGTAAATGCTGAACAAGCCACATGTTTAGTTTATTTTTTGAATATGTAAACAACAACAAAAAATAAAGCGGCATGAAGCATAATGTCAAACTTTTTTGTTTTACATAACCAAGGGAGTGGGTAGAAGTATACATGATCTTGCATTTATTAAATGTATAATCCATACATTTAACAACTAAACCTATATTTAATAGTTAACCCATCAATATAGTATTTATTTAAGTTAACTAATGTAAACAAACTATTATTATTTATTTAACTTCACAAAAAACCTAGCATGAATAACAAAAACACCAACAATAATTGAATAATAATATTCTATATTATATCCAGCAATAATCATATTTAGACAGATAAATATTTAGATATTTATAGGTTTGTATGATAATTTGAACAGTTTTATGTTTGGACATTGTTTAAGTTCAGGTTTCAGATTATTCCACAGTTTGACTCCACTTCATGATGCACAAGTTTTTTTTTCTAGTAGTTCTGAATTTGCACATTTTAAACTAATTCTCTTAACTTATAAATTTGCTCCTTAGTCTTAAACAGGTTTTGAATGTTTTCTGGTAATTTTTTATTTTTGGCTTTGTAAAGAATTAGAGCTGTCTGTAGTTTAACTGTCAATGAACTTTAATAATTTAGATTTAACAAATAGTGTATATCCCACCTTATGGATTATTCTTATTGCTCTTTGTTGCAGTATTAATGCCTGTAGTGTAGTTTTGTAATTATTGCCCCAGATTTCTGCACAATAACTTAAATAAGGTAAGATTAGTGAACAGTAGAGTATATGTGATGCTTTTTGTTCTGTGACCGATGTTGTGTAAAAGTAAAAAATAAAAGTTCAAAGTTCAACGTAGCAAGAAGCGAGCTAAAAAATGATTGTGGCTAAGGGCTAGCGAAAAGTTAAAACGAGCAAAATGCTAGCTAGAAGCTAAAAGTAGCATAAGAAGACAAAGCTTCATTATTTTGAAGCAAAGTTTAAAGAGAACAATGTTGAAGAAATCAGTGTTTCAATGGAGAAATATCCAAAGGTCAGCATTTTGAAATTATAAAAGTTATAAAAAACAAACGTCAAAGCACTCAACTCCCTAATGAGCTGAACGTTTGGATGTAGAACGGCTAAAATAGCACGATGAACATAAATATTGCAAGGACGTATATTTTTTTTAAAAAAGTATTTAAACCGTGTGAACACTAAATCAGCGTTTACACGTTTTTGTTTTATGAACCAAAGCACTTCCTGTTCCTGTATGAAAGATGTTAACGGTTGCCATATAAAAAAAACACGTAATAATATTCATTTGACCAAAAATAACAGTTCATTCGTACAACATATTTTAACTACAGATCCGTAAGAAGTCGCAGGTTTTAAGGCACAGAAACGACCTTCCATTCATGCTCAAAAAATGGGTAATTTCCTGCAGAATTAATATCTGGGGAGGCAAAACAAGTGAGTAATTAGCACCGAGTCTCTGTTTAACCCTGCTAGACGCTGCTGCTGAGGTTGCCAGCTCATCTCTACTCGCTCACGTTAAAAAGAAAAAAGGCGAGAAGTCATAGCTTCGTGTTGCTGGAGGATTTTTATTTTTTCAGATTTGAGGCGTTCATTTTTTACATAAAAAAAAGTCACTGGGTTTGTGTAATGGTTTACAACGTTCATCATCATCTCCTGAAGCTCAGGTGAGGAGGTGCTTGCTGCCTTGTGAGGTAAAAATACTCCCCTCCAACGCCTGAATAAAGAGTCCTGGCAGCAGAGAGCGGTGGGAACGTGGTTGGTGATGAGGATGGAGGATGGGCTCGACTGGCATGGTGCCCATATGGGGTCCAGGGAAATAATGGTTGGGGGGAGGGTGACGAAGAGGCCTCATCACCAAAGCTGGCACTGTCCTGTCAGCTCAGTGGATGCTTTAAACTCTGCTCAGGGGTTCCCAGCATGCTCTGCAACATCAGATGACCAGGATAATGTTAGTGCTGTGTGCACGGGGGGAGTTCTGTGTG